CCTTATAATCTTTCAATCGAATTCTTACGCACAGAGCAATTGCATTGTGGGGAAGGAGCTGCTACATTCTCTTCGACATGAATTTCGCTCTTCTTTGCTTTCTCCTCGTGGAGTTTAGCCTGACAAGAAGGAAAACGATTGAGAGTCTTTGGCCAGTGCTTTGCTTACCAAGATCGCATCAATATCATCCTCGTCCCACACCTTCTTCTCGTCGCGATGAGCTCGCTTCTCCGCCGCCTTGGCCGTCTTGCTCGAAGAACCCTAAAACCTAAATTAACTCTTGCTTGTACTGTCCGCTTTGCTTCCATACGATGGCTTTGCTTCCACAGCTGGCATATGCTTTGCTTTTCTTCCACAGCTGGCATACTTTCTTTAGTGCTTTGCTTCCACTGCTGGCAAGGTTCACTTTTACAAGTTTACTCGTGCTCTCCACTGCCCCTTCGATCCAGGGCAAACTTCCATGGAGGAGGAGTGGATCGGCTGTTTCTCTGTCAAGGCGGTCAAGGAGGCTCTCGCAGCGAAGCGGGACAACAAGTGGCACTTCAATGCGATTCGGTTTTATTGTGGGCACATCTGGAGGCTGGAGGCGCTTGACGCATCCAAAGGTGAGTTTGTTGATGAGGTGAGTGCTACCGTCCAGTGGTTTGGAGGCACAGAGGAGGATCTGATTGGTGTGCTCAACTGGTACATTTCAAATCCACCGAGTTTAGACAAGGCTCTGGATGTGGGAGATGCTCCTGGTGATGGCAGTTCGTCTGCTGCTGCTGCTGCTCACATTGACATTCTCAAGGCCGCTTTGGTACCACAGCTCGACATCAGATTCATCCACTTCGCTGCCAGGGTCGCTTGTAGGTTGGGCATTCCCAGTGATCGAATGCAAAGGGTGGCAGAGGGCATTGCTCCTCCTCAGCAGGGACAGGATATTCGCCAGATTGAGGTGCAGAGGTTTGCAAAGCTACTGACGATGACAGAGGAATTCAAGGTCTTGAAAGTGCTAGTATTCCATTGGGTAGGCGCAGACATCCTCACACCACCTCAGGAGCTTGAGTTGGCCTTTGCTCAGCTCGACTGCTTGACAGAGCTCTGGTTGCGCCATGTTGGGAACCCAGAGACTCTCCTTAGCCAACTCCTTAGGAAAGCAGGAAACAACTTGAAACGTCTCGAATTGCTGGCGAACAGGATGACAGTGGAAGGATTTGGGAAATTGAGTAGGGATCTGGCAAGTCAGGAGTGCAAGGTGGAAGAGTTAGCCATCCTGGATGAGGGCATTGCCAAGGAAGGGTGGGAACAGGCATTTCAGAATGGCATTTGCAATAAGCTAGTGGCACTGCAGGCATATTCGTTTCCAGAGGGGGCAGGTGAAGCACTCTTCAAGGCACTCACGAGTCCAAACTGTTCGCTGCAAAGACTATACCTATTTTGGGGTACTGATGCTGGAGTGTTGCCATGGGTATGCAAGGCTCTTCAGGAGGGCACCAGCCTGTCAGTTTTAGATTGCCGAAGTGAGGACCTGAGCAATGCAACGGGCCTGGGTGAGGCCCTGAGCAGCGCTAAGTGTGGCTTGAAGGAACTCAGCGTTACACTTTATCCAGGTGATGGTGGTGGATGGTTGGGCAAAGCGCTACAAAATCCCAATTGCAAGCTGATCAAGCTTGATCTTCATTGTCCTGACGAGGGAGGAGGAATGGTCGGTGACAGCAGTCTGTGGTCAGCTCTCTCAAGTCCACATTGTAAGCTGCGCCATTTGAAAATATGGGGTAGCACGGGAGAAGATGAGTTAACGTTGGAGTTTGCTAAGGGCATAGAGAAGAGCCAACTGGAGCATTTGAGTATAAGGAACTGCAAAATCACGAATGAGGAGCTCTTTTGGAAAGCTATCACCAGCTGCAAGTCTCTGAAAGCTTTGTCATGTGACTCGGAGCTGCCATGGAGGTGCCTTTTGGGAAGCAGCATTGAAGACTTACATATTCGATTTAAGTCAGAATTTGAAAAGCTGGAAGAGCTTTGCCAGTTCCTGGGGGATCCAAAATGCAAGGTGCGCAGATTCAGGGCTCCTTATCTTAGAAGTGATGCACAGAAGAGACAAATTCTGGCTGCCCTGGAGGAAAACTACCAAAGCCTCGTGGAAGAGCTTGATATAGGCAATGATTCCGAAGCTTCTGAAGCTTTCAAGCAGAGGTGTTCTGGTCTTTTAGAGCGGAATGCAATCTTCCAGCAGAGTGCATTCAAAGACTTTGACAACCCGTCAACAGCAAAGCTCTTCTTGTGTGGTGCTAGCAGGGTTGGAAAGACCACAATAAAAAAAAACCTCTGCCGCAGAGTGTCTTGGTTTCCATCATGTCTCCAAAGGCATGCTTCAACAGCAGGCATTGAGCTGCAACCACTTGTCTATGCGACCACCAAACAAAAGTTGCTCATTTGCGACCTGGCTGGACAGGAAGAGTTCCATGCTTTCCACCAGTACTTTCTCAGAGGAAGTGAGAAGGATCTCTTCTTGATCGTATGCAAGGTGGAGGATGACAATTGTGACGTTTTCAAGCAGAATTTGGTTTACTGGCTGAGGTTCATTGCTTCACATCAATCAGCCTCACCCAAAAGGAAGCCCAGGGTCTTGATTGCCTTGAATTTTTTCACTCGAAAATCCAGCTATGACCCAAAGGAGGTGGTTTCTGCAATAATCTCCGACAAAGGCTATCGGCAAGTACTTGAGTTTGGGAATGACTTTTGTTTTAAGGTGGTGGCCACTCAAGTGAAAGATTTAAGGGGGATAAAAACCATGTTGGGGAGTTGCTTGGAAGAACTGTTGTCAGCCCAGCAACAAATGCCACGGGAATGTCTCAAAGCAAAGGGGAAACTGGTACAAAGTGCAAGTCACAACAAGGTCATACCCCTAGATAAGGTTGGCAAAATCCTCTTGCCTAACATCAGTTCCAAAAACATAGAAGCCAGAAAGAACGTTGTTAAATTCGTCTTGCAATTTCTACATGATTGTGGAGATGCAATTTACTTTGGCTTGGGACATGAAGAGGGTGACATTGTGTCTCAATTTGTCATCTTAGATGTCCAATGGTTTATGAGGGATGTGGTGCAACTCTTCATACCTACAGAGAAGACTAGCAAACTCAAAAGTCAAATGGATACACACCAAGTTAAATATCAATTGCAAGAACAATGTGGGAACCAAGACAAAATAGTGGAGTGCATTCTTGGAGTGCTCCATGAGATGGGAGTGATATTGCCTTGGGATGATACATGGGATGGGAATTGGCATAACTTGCCCAAAGAGTTAATAATGCCAACACTATTGCAAGAAGAATATTCACCTCCAGAATATTTATTATTGCCATCAGTGCCAATTGACACTCAAAAAAACCACAACTACTGGGGCAGGAGGTTTGAATGCAAAGACAAGGACTTGAAATTGTTTCCTGCAAGTATTTTCACAAAGATCCAAGTTAAACTTTACAAATTAAGCAAGCAAGGTATTAGGCTTGGGAATGGATGGGTGGCTTTGAAAGAAAACCTTATCGAGACAATTGTGAGAGTTGGGGGAGACACAAACAATTGGAAAGATAGGCAATGGGTTGATGTCATCATTTATTACCCAAAAGAGGTAGAGAATGCACCAAGGCCAGATTTGGAAAAAGAAGCTGAAGGATGGATGGAAAAAATTAGAAATTGCATTATTGGGGTATGTATGGAGGATTGCCCATTTTTGGAAATTGAAGAAAATGTGATAAGGCGTGGTTATGTGTGGAGAAGGATACTAAATAAGGTAGGTAAACCAAAATCATGGGATGCAGTTATTTGTCCACTAAAGCAAATCAAATATGAAGCAAGAGAAAGAGGTTTAGACTACTCCCACACTTTGGAATTATTCACATGAAGCAGAGAGTTGGGATGTGATTAGCGATTTGAAGGTCTCAGATGAGAATGCTTTGGCTAAGCTATTGATGCCTAATGAGCAAAAACATGAAGTGGTGAATAAGTTTGTTGAACTTCATGAACTCTTGAAGGACTATGAGGAGGTTGGAGAAGTCACAATTCCAAGGCATCATCAGATGTTGTTGAGTTTCCAAACATTGAAGACCCAAAACTTGATGCAATCCTCAGATATATTAAGAAGATGTTTGATAAAATGGAGAACCGTTTTAACAAGTTGGATACAAAACTTAATGACATTGAAGTAAGCGTTAACGAGCTCAAGAATGGAATCAAGTTTATCATGGATAAAGTGAATGCAATCCATACAACGTGTTTTCAAGTATTATTGAAATTGGAGACAGATTGCCCAAAATATCCATATATTCTTGATGAGAATAATAGGTGGAAAAATTATAGCAAAATACTGGGAACACATAGTAGACTTCACTACTTGTGTGAATGGCCTGGAGGAACTTATACTCAGGGAATTAAAGGTCATCAAGTGAAAAATTCTGTAAGTGTTGAATTGGATCTCCCACCAAACTACATTGATCCTATTATTTATTGGGGCCAAAGTTTGAGGACATTTTGCTGGTGTTGGAGAGATAGCGAATGCAATATTAGACGAAATCAAGGGAAGCCTCATAAGCTTTTTGGATTCATGTCTTCTCAAAAGCAAGTTAACTACAAATCCCAAAGCAGAAGATGTGCAAGAGATATTTAAGCTAGTGACAACTAAATTTGGGAAAGAAGAAAAATGGGAGACAATCATGGAAAATTATTTTGCTCTTTATCCCAAAATCTTGGAGGGAAAACAAATATGGGTTTGCAAAGGTATTTAGCATTTAAGTTTTTTGTTTTATTTAACAAATACCATTCTAAAGCAGATCATCAATCTATAATTTTATAAAATGGTCTAGCAAAACGAAGGTAAATAAATATGCTTTATATAGTTATTACTATATATCTTTGGTATGATTCAGGTATATTTTGTAGCTGAAGTTAATGAGGTAAGTTTGTATTATAGCTCCAAATTATTCTTTCCTGTTTATTTTAATGTTTCAAGTTTATTTCAGTGTTGAATATTTAATATTTTAAGTGAAGGAAAAGCTACCAAATATTTTATTTTTTATCCCATAATTTGGATGATAAAACAATATATATTTACAAAGGTATTTTATATTGAAATATATCCATGCTTTTAGTTTTATCTAACAGAGGCTATGTAGGGCATTTAAAGTAAATCATTAATTATATATTTTGCTCTTCATCCCATAATCCTGGATGAAAGTAAAATATGGATCTGCAAAGGTATTTCACATTTAAGTTTTTAGTTTTATCTAACAAACACCATTCTAAAGCAGATCATCAATATATATTTTTACGAGGTAGTTTGGAAAGATGAAGATAAATGAACATACTTTATATAATTATTACTATATGTCTTTGGAATGATTGGGCTATATTTTGTAAGAAAAGTTGATGAAGTAAGTTTACATTATTGCTCTAAAATATTATTTCATGTTTATTCTAATGTTTCAAGTTTATTTCAGTGTTGAATTTTTAATAATCAAAGTGAAGGAAAAACTCATCAAATGATTTCATATTAATGACATTTCAATATGAAAACTAAAATTGTGAAAGAAATTGACCAAAAGACAATCATGGCCAAATATTTTAATATCCATCCTATAACCTTGGATTATAAAACAGTATGGATTTACAAAGGTATTTTACATTGAAATATATCTATGATTTTAGTTTTATTTAACAAAGACTATGTAGGGCATTTAAAATAAATAATTGATTATATTGATTTTTGAGATTATTTGGCAAGGCAATGATTAATCAAATGTCCTCTATATTGTTATAGATATGGCAGAATGTTATTTTTACTATGATTATGCTACATTTCCTGATATAAGTTGATGAGGTATCTTTGCATATTGCTCTAAAATAATTTTTATATTTATTCTGATGTTTCAGTATTGAATGCTTTAAAAAAAAGCTACTCAGATGATTTTATGTTAGCGGCATTTTTTATTTTGGCATCTTTGGTAAGAAAAATTTAGGAATGAAGTTAATTAACATTAATAAACCTTTTAAGGTAATGCATTTCAAAACTAAATACAAGTGCTTAATTGTTATTTATCATCACATACTGTAAAAGATAACTTTATATTATCTTTACCAACTTCAACTTATTCTTTAAATTAATGTTTAGCTAAAATATGTTACAAACTACAGATTAAAGACTTATGAAAATTGTCATTGTTCACAATTCCATTTACTTGCTAAACTCTATATAGAAATTTATTTACTCTCCTCAATTACATATATATGCCATCTCATAAAACCAAACACTGTATTGTACTCTAACTATTGTAAGCAAGTGTTTGAATGACAATAATTTAACAGCAAAAGGTTTTTGAGTGTCTGTAGACATCTTTTACAAAATACAAAATATGTATTAAACAAAACTTATAATTATTTTAAAAATAAAGTATAAAAATATTTTTTACTATGAAATCATTTGAAACACATCAAGTGTTACTTCAGAGTAGCTCTAATAAAAATGCTTTCTAAATAGTTATTTTGAACATTCTAGTAAATATTTCATTTTTAAAAGGTTGTTTAATTTTAAATTGTTATCTTTTTTGCTAGGTTCTTTACAAAGTTTAACTTATATTATTTATGGCACTATAATCTCCTGAATCTAGGCTTTCTAGAAGGTCATCTAACCCAATACTATTTAAAGATGCTTAATCTCAAATAACCTATGATTTATAACTAATTGGAACAAAGGGTACATTTTTATATTTAAAAAAATATTAATAATTTTTTAAGTTATTATTTTTGGTTGTTTACAATCCATCATGGTTTTTTGCAAGTTTACGCTTTCATAAATGGAAGTTGAAAGTTGCGGCTCTTCTAAGAGCCCTGCTCTTTTAACACCCTACCCCTTGAGTTGAAATTGGAGTAAACTAAACTTATTAAATATTAATCTTGACATGTGGTGTTAATCAATTAATAGAGTCACACCTTATACTTCTCTAATACCAAATATAATTTTTTAAATTTGGACTTCATAAAAGGTTATTTAGCCATTTGGGTATCCAAAAGTGGAATTAAACACATAGAGCATTTAGACCAATTACAAAGTTGATGTGGTTACAAAAACTCATCTTAAAGTTAGCAAACACCCAAATTAATATTAGGGCTTATAGAGATTATGAGTGAGACTCCTTTAAATGATCCTAAAGTAAAAAAAAATTAATCATTTATAAAGATGCCGAAAGCATGGTGATGGTTGCGATCACCACTACTATAACAAAAATGACAAGCTATAATTATAGTATACTCCTATTTACATTTCCTTGATAAACATTTATGACATGCAAAAATTCAAAAATAAACTTTATCGAAACCTTTGCAAACTCAACCAAGTTTATAAGCTAAATGAAGAAGTTTGGCTTAAAGATGTTTGCATAAGCTCACTCCCAATCTTTATCTCATTTTTGTTTAGAGAACAAACATCTTAATCATTTATTATACCTTGTAAATTGGCAAAAAAAAGCTTCAAATTATCATTAATATACTGGTTTATATGTTTTTCTCAAATTTTTGGGCTAGTATTTAGTATTGGGTTGCTAAGATTTCATGTTAAGCTAAGTAATTTCTCAAGAGAAAAATTTAAGTGAATTTGAAATAAACTCTTTTTAGACAATAACTTACAAAAGAAGAAAGGGTAAGTCACTATATTATTTAGATATGGAACTTGTTAAAGAGGATCAGCTTGATAAAAAATATATGTATTGATTGAGTGGAGCTAAATTATTAAGCAAAGATGAACATTTGGCTAAAGCTTTGATTTATTAATGATTTTGTCGAGATTGGGCAAAATGTTATTATAAATTTATAGTTCATTTTGTAAGTGATTGGATTAATCTTTGTTGATCTTTACAGTTGGACAATCTCAAAAGTTTCCTCTTTTGCTTTTGAAGGAGAGCTTTGTTAGTGCTTGTACAAGTAAGTTGAGTAAAACAATCCAAACACGAAAGGAATCCACCTAACCGCTGCCAGGGGTATAAAAAAATTATAGCTTTTCTTATAATTATTTTTAGCTATGCATCATTTACAAAACTTACACTCTACAAATCTCACTCGCAAGAGGTTATTTACTATATCACCAAAGTTGTTAGTAACCTTGTGTAAAATTGATAGCTTCTCCTTAAATATTAACAATGGATTGTATTTCATTTTCATATCCAATATGGAAACATTTATGGATGCCTTGTGGTACTAAATATTTACCAAGTGACCACTTAATTTTAGATTCAATGTTTGTATTACAAAGAAAAAAAAGCAAGAGAAGGAATACTTGGATTTTATGCTCTAAAAATAATAAGAGTGAGAGTAGCACCTTTGGACTAACTAAAATATCCAAACCAAATAACCCTTGAGATTCATAGATTGTCCTTGAAAGCCAAGATATCAACAAAAAGTAGTGATCACAAGAATAATAGGATAAATGGTTGCATTTGAAATGTTGGAGATGAGTTGAGATTATATTCTCAAAATAAATATTATAAATAGAGGATGTTATTACTATAGATTTGCATGTTTTGCAAAGGTGATACATACTTGTATGACATTTCTCCAAGAAAACTATAAATAATATCTAAAGAGTTTTGAGAAAAAATTTATCTTTCACATTTGTAGTTTCCAAGTATCATGTATGTTGTATTTACATTGTTTCCTATAAAAGCCATATTTTCAAAATTGTGAATAAAAGTAGTAAGCCATTGTTTTTTAAGAGAACAATTCCTTGGAAAGCAATATCTAAAGCAAACTGTTGATAATTATCATTACATCTCTAAGTGATGAATATCGTTAAGTGTTTGGATTGCCATTGAATAATCTAAGCCACATTTTGGTTGTAATGAGATCGGATATTATATGGTTAAGGTTAACTTTGGTGATATTTCCAACTTGAAGTGTTGACTTCTCATGATTGTCAAGAAAAAGTTTTAAATTTATTAATTTAAAATAATCTTGGTAAAACTTTAGAAGTTGGTCCCAAAATTAATATTGAAACCTCCAACAATTCTAATTATCATATTTTTACCTATAACATGGAATCAACAACTGCATCTTTAACTAAAGGAGTATATATTGCACCCTTCAAAAAAAGTGAAGAACATCATAATCAAAAACTATATATTTAACAAGAAGTAAAAGAATGATTTTTCTCGAGGAGAGAAATGAATAAATTTATTGCATCCCCACCTATTTTATATTATATCTGTGAGCAAATTTTGATTAGCACAAGTTAAGAAAACTATTCACTTGGTTGTAATAGCACATCACACTGCTCACTTAGCCATCTTAAATGTAACTTTGGAAAAATAGGTTATAAGAGTTTATCAAGTTTTATTCACTCATCTATGAAAAACTTACGAGTGAAAGCATTTCACTCACTACATATTGAAAAGCAAAGAAAAATGCTGAAAGGAAGAGAGAGAAGTTGAAATTATACCTTTGCATTGACGTAATTATAAACTCTTAAATTTGAAATTCCCGGGAAGTCACCCAACCCAGAGATACTTAACCCTAAATATCCCAAGACCTTTAACCAATTGGAAAAATAAATACACTTGGAAAATAAAATGTATTTTTATTCATGAGTCATTTCCCTTTATATTTGAACTTTATTGATCGTCTTTCAAGTTGTTCTCTTTAATTGTTTATAGTAATATCAATCTATTTATGGATAAGCTTATGGTTTTGTAATTATAGACAAAATTCTAGAACATGACACAAAACTTTACATCTCTAATCAAGTAAAAAAGTGTGGAGTTGAATGAAGCTATAGTGAGTATCAACAATGGAAAAATTGTAGTAGCTAGAGCAAAATTGCCAAACTCTAGTGAGTAAGAATTTTTCTCTTGTCTTTTTCATATGGCAGGGTGACACTATGCGATTCAGATGAAGCATCCTCGGAAAGCCCAGGTAAAGTGGTGAATTTCCACTTGCGTTGCAAGAATGCCTTGATTATAAGCACATCTTGCTGCTTTTCTTCAGGACTAGTACTTGTGATCTTGCAAATTGCAATTAAAGTACTTCGATTTAGTCGGGTATAGTTGCTGCAAAACATCCTCCTCTGCTGCCGCAGTGCAAGTGGCCAAGCAGCACAAACATTCATTCCCAAACACTGATTAGTTTACTCGTTTTGAAACATTACCAGATAGATAGTGTGGTGCTGGATTCAGGGGAGGTGCTCGTAACAATCACGAAAGTTCCAGTTTGACTCCAAACATCTCCCGTGTGATCTTCCACTTGCGAGCGATGTCTTGTTCTTCATGTATCAATCAAATGGAAGGGAAGTTGCTACCTCCAAAACTCGTTTGTTTCTTCTACAACAGTGTCGATACGATACGCGGAGTAAAAAAGGAAGCAATCCAAAAAGAGGATGTCCGTAAGATCACTACAGCTTAACCTCACTCTCGCAACTTGGCTCGGTGGTCTCTTCATGGAGGAATCCATGGCAGAAAGAGAAGGATCGTCAAGTCCGAGCTTTTGCAAACGAGGGAGCGATCGAGCGAAACGACGGCTGCCGCACACTGTGGATTGATCGATAAGTCTCTAGCTGGAGACACGGAGAATCCACCGAGCATCTCGACAGGAACTTTCATGATCATCATCACGCGCTTCAAGCACGGCCTAGCTTAACATCAACGACTTTGGGCTTGGCAAAGTTCTTTATGTCTCTCTCTCTCTCTCTCTCTCTCTCTCTTGCTGCTTGCTCGTGGATTTTTTAACGAATTTCTTCGTCTTTCGTGTGCTGCCGGGCTTGAGGAAATCTGTCCGAGAAACTGGGCATGTATCTTGTTTCCAGTTTGGGTTGCTTCGGACGACTTTCGTGCCGGTTGCCGGAGGAAAAAGAATTGTCATGGAAAAAACAATGGAACCTGTAAGCGCTCTGGACAACACGTTAGCTTGTCACATCCTTGGCAAAAAGCTTAGACTTTGCTGGATGATCTGCGGCCTTGATCTCAGGCTAATGCCGTGCTGATCGCATCAGCGAGAGGAATTTAAAGACTTTTCCAGTCGACAAGAAGTGGTGGAGTGATCGGGCAGTGATCCATCGACTTCGAGCGAAACATGACATGGATCGAATCGTCCGAGTCCAAGTAGAAAAAGAAAAAGGACGAGATGGAGATGGAGGGATCAAAGAAGTGGAGCGCGGTAAAGTCAATCAAAGCCAGCGCCATTTCTTTCTCTCCTCTCAGATTTTTGCGCTCTCTTTCCTTCAAACTTTCTGTGTGGCTGGCAACAAAAACAAAGGCCACACATGGGGAGCTAAAGAGGGAACATGGACTCCCAGCGAACAATAAAAATAAGCATTTTGGGGGCCCAAAACCGGACCACGGGCCGATTCCGGAATATTCTCCGGCAACGAATATTCTATTATTCCTTAGGGTTAGGGCACCGCCCGAGTAAAAGGTGTTGCAATAGAGTCAGACCAATAATGACACGATGTAAAAAAGAAGAACTATTGTCATCCCCTTAGTTTTTGATTTCTAGGTTTAGCTACAGTGGCGTTCTCTCTTTTATTCTCTTTAACAAAGCCCAATGAATGGAGTTTCAAAACGTCGTACCCCACGTACTATACGAGGGGTTGGTTGTCACGTAGAGGTGATCATGAGGAAGCACTACCAAGGATTGGAGGCGTATAATAAACTAGAGAGAAGCGTATGGTAGCGGTGGAGGCGTGGAGTGTACGGTGGCGGGTTCGAGTCCGCCGGTCCGTGGCTCGCGGCGCGGCATCCGCTGGTCCGGGCCCAGTGGTCCATTTTATGACCCAAACTGGATTCCGACAAAAACCGGTTAGCTTAAATTAGAGGCAGATAGCCAAGTTGGCGCCAAGTCCGCGGTGGCTGGAATGTATATCCAGATGTAGCTGTGCCACGTGTCAAAAGGTCAATTCCCGACCTGGGTGGAATTGTACGTCATTTAGCTATTAGCTAGTAGATGGCTATGGCGAGGAGCGGCGCCTTTGCTCTTCTCTCTCTCTCGCCGAGCAAAGCGGGGATCTTGATGCGCTAGGGCATCGATTCTCGTTGATCGTGTTGGCAGCGCCTCGCAGCGGTGGCGGCATTGGGATTGTGACGCTTGCCCGGGCAATGTGTCGAATTTGAAGGCGCTGCGCCACTGTGTCACGGGCGCGATCGGCGAGCGCAGCGCGCGTCGACGGGGCATCGATGGAGCTAGGTAATCACACAAGGGGCTCGCGTTGAATCGAGCTTTTTCCTTCTTTCTCTCTGCTTCCCGTGATCTTCCTCGCTTTTCCCATTCGATCCTCGGCTTTCCATGGCGAATTGGAGGTAATCGCTCCGAAATATTCCCTCCTGTCGGAAGCGCTTGCTCGAAATATTTCCACTCCGATCGATCCGCAAGATGGAGCTCCACGGCGGCGACCCGGACCTCTGCTATGGCCTGGACGTGGATCTTGTGGGAGACAACGATGAGGCCTGGGCGAGGCGGTCGTCCAGGATCACGAGGATTTCAGCGACGACGACATGGACGTGGACGAGCTGGAGAAGAGGATTTGGAACGATCGGCTGCGGCTCAAGCGGATCAAGGACAAGCAAAAGGCCAGGGTCAACAACGCATTCTCCTCGAATCACTCGAATCACAGCAGCCATGCGCAGCCGCAGCAGCAGCAGCATCACGGCGGCCCAGCAGCGCAGCACCAGAATCTGGGCAATCTCCCCAAGCACAAGCAATCCCAGGAGCAAGCCCGGCGGAAGATGTTGCGAGCCCAGGACGGGATCCTCAAGTACACTCTCAAGATGATGGAGGTCTGCAAAGCCCAAGGATTCGTCTATGGTATCATCCCCGAGAAGGGCAAGCCAGTGAGCGGCGCCAGCGACAACATCCGCGCGTGGTGGAAGGAGAAGGTCCGCTTCGATCGGAACGGCCCCGCCGCCATGGCCAAGTACGAGGCGGAGCACGGCATCTGCTCCAGATCCGGCGGAGGCGCTGGCCAGCTCTCCGCCGCCACCCCGACGCCACACACTCTCCAGGAGCTCCAGGACACCACCCTCGGATCGCTTCTCTCGGCGCTAATGCAGCACTGCGATCCACCCCAGCGGAGGTACCCGCTGGAGAAAGGGGTGGCGCCGCCGTGGTGGCCGAGCGGCGACGAGGAGTGGTGGCCCGAGCTTGGGCTTCCAAAGGGGCAGGGGCCGCCGCCGTATAAGAAGCCCCATGATCTCAAGAAGGTGTGGAAGGTTGGAGTTCTCACTGCGGTGATCCGACACATGTCCCCGGATATCGAAGATCAGGAAGCTCGTGAGGCAGTCCAAGTGCGACTGCCAAGGAGAGCGCGACGTGGATCTCGGTGCTCAACCAGGAGGAGGCGCTGGCGAGGCAGTGGAATTTGATCGGGCAGCAGCAGCAGCAGCAGAGCCACCACCACCGCCATAACCAGGTGATTGTGATGAGGATAACCCTTGAGACATTGCCTTGGATTGCTCTTCCAGGAAGAGGTCGAAGAGCAAGAAAACAATGAGGAAGCACCAGACAGATCCATTCGAGGTATAGAAACTCTGAGAAGGAATTTGTGTGGAGCGACTCTTGAATGTTCTTTGCAGATTTCTATGTGAACGGAAGATCCCTTTTACGATTCGGCGGTATCTCCGAATGAGAGAGTGGTCCTCTTCGTGCGTTTCTAAGAGGCTACGAGATTGGGGAGGATTCTTGGAAGAGACAAGTTGGAAACTAGAGAAAAATCTCAAAAGATTCGTGGGATACTATGCATATGCTTTTAGGGTTCTTTGTAGATTAGCTAAAGGAGAAAATTCGCTAGGGTTTTCTTTCATTTGTAATGGCAGGGGCGCGGCTCGCGATCGTCTCCGATCTTGATGGAACAATGGTACGCACCGCTCGTTTCTTCTTCGATGCGCTCTGGGCCGCGGATTATTTCCATGACTCGCTTCTGGTGTTCTCGACTGGAATATCGCCGACGATGTATCGCCTGCTGAGGCGGGAGAGGCCGCTGCTCACGCCGGAGGTCACGATCTTGTCTGTGGGGTACGGCGATGCCATGGTTCCAGATTCTGGATGAGAGCAAGAACTAAACAAGGGGTGGGATAGGGCTGTTTGGAAGAGACTTCCAAGTTTCCAGAGCTTACATTCCAGGTAGAAAAATTCCATATCCTCTCTTTGATGCTGTTTACAACGTTTTTCTCTATCTCGTGCTGGCTTTTTTTATTTTTTTCCTGTAGGAACAAACAGAACAGCGACCTCACAAAGTCAGCTTCAAGCTGAAGAAGGCAGAGGCTCCTCGGGTTGTGGAGACACTGTTGAATTGATTGATCGAGTGTGGGCCAAGTTTTTAGAGGATCGTTCGAAGCTTTCGTGATCTAATCCTTTTTCTTTTTTGTTCTTCCAGTTGGATGTAAAAATCATATACAGCGGAGGACAGGATATGCTTGAGCAGCTGACAAGGGACAGCTCATGAGGGAAGGCAGAGCTCCTCAGAAAGTTCTTGTGATGCTGAGCTCTTTGCCGTCAAAGACGTTTTTGGAGTGATCGTAAGTTCTTGAAGTCGATTGATCACCCACTCACTCACTGACGATCTCAGGTCGGGAATGCGTTTGAAGATCTTACGCAGTGGTACCTTGATAATGCCAAAGACAATCCCAAGATCTTTCGTGGCACTGAAAGATGCGCTTCGGGAATCTTACAAGCTATCCGAGAGTTCAAGTTTGATCCTTGTGTTTCGCCCAGGGATGCCGACTTACTGAGCCAGCTCACTGCTGGGGACACCGAAGGGTTGATCGGACGTGGAGTGGTGCTACTGTGTGAGATGGTTACGAGGCGAGGTTGAAAGCTCCCACGAGGTGTTTGAACACTTGAAAAGGCCAATGGTAAGTTCCCCGTGTTTAGTAGTTTTGGATGCTTGAGCAACGAAATGGCTGGCAGGCCCCTGACTCAACGCTGGTCACTCCGTGGGGACTAGAAGACGATCTTCGTACAAGCGTTGAGATTCTACGTCCCTCCACGGTATTCACAGGGGAAAGAACTTCTGTATGTGGGTTGATCGAATTCGTGCGACGAAGGTTGGGGACGTTACTTGGGTTGTCAAGTTTGATAACTGGCAGCGAACGGGTACGTTAAGTTCTTCTTTCTGATGCATTATTTTCTTGCTGGTGCATTCCAGACGAAGAGCTGAATTATCGCTTGACAACCGCCGTGTGTTTCAATATAAGGTGGCGTTCTTATCGCTTTGTTTTGGTGGAGTTATTCAGCTTTGCTTCTCTTACAGGATGACATGCCTTATGCGAGTGTATTACGAATCCACGAAACGTGGCTTGATGGTTATGCGGGAAGATCTTTGGTCCTAATGTAGGAGGCACAGCCAACGGTAGGCGAAAAAATAAGCAGGGACGAGTCATCGTCCAGGTAACCAAATATATTCCAGGTTTGCTGAGATTGATATATGGTGAAGAAAAACGAGACAAATGCGCACTCAGTGATGGAGCCCGTAGTGCGACGATCCATGGTCGAGGTCGACTTACAACGCGTTGATAAGTTCTACACTTAATGGAATGGCATGTGGATCCAAACGCACACGCGTGATCGACATTTGCGACAAGACGAGGGTATGTTTACGCATTTATACTCATTCATTCATGGTGTAGAACAGGGTGACATCAGGATCAAAAGCGAGAATAAGATACACTCAGGTCGGAACGACAGGGATCAAACTCATCAGTAGCAACGGAGAGGTTTGTATTCTGGATTTAAATCGCGTCTCTCAGCAAGCTTTCGATGAACAGCAAATGGAAGGAGAAAAAACCCGGCGGGTTGGGGTCCACGTCGTCAACAAAACGATGCGGATCAATGTTAAAAACCCACAGACTGGTACGTGCAATGCTTTACAGCCAGAAGTTTTGGCTTTCTTAGCGAAGAATCGTGCAGAATCTGGCAAGGAAAAGGAAAAGTATAATCGGGCCACTAACAAGGTGGAGCATCGCGAATGGAAGATAAGCTAAAATGCATTTATTTTCGTTCTCTTTCTTTCTCCGTGGTATGGGGGACTTCTCTCAGCATATCCCGAGCTGCATATCCAGTGATTCAAAGCAAAGTTCTCACCCTTATACCCCTCTTTGATGATAGTCGGGCAATTATCACACCACTATTCTTCCATGTCTTGTGTGTCTCTAGTCGGCCAACCAGAGTATAAAATGCGACCACCACCTTCATTGCAAACTCCCCCTGCTCCCTCTTCCTCTCGCAGAAGGAGAGAAGGCTCCAAGTTTTTGAGTGAGCAAAGGGCTCTCACCTCGAGAACTCGACAAGCTCCCTCGATTCCAAGCTTGGCTCCTTCGGTTATTCTTCTCCTCTTCGTCCCCTTGCAAGAGTAAGTTTTTTCTTTGCTTTCGTAGTTCTGAGCTTGCGATTCTTTCAGTTTGGTTGCGCCAGCAATCGGGATTCCGACGAAACAAAACGCTCCATAAGCGTGATTTCCAGAAAGAGTACGTGCATCGCTTCCTTCCATGCTTTAGATGCTCAAATGATTCTTTCATTCCCTTTCGCTCGCATAAATTACTCGTGTTGACAAGAAAAGAGTTGAAGTGTGTGAGAGTGTGTGTAAGTGTGTAACTTACGACAGCTTCTTTTCATGTAGATTCCCCTGCATTCCCTGTCCTTTTGTTTCCTTTTTTAGTTCCATAGGCCAATGGATCGCTTGCTTCTTCGCTCCTCTTGCACTCTGCTGCGTCAGTTTCTCTCAGGAAAACGTATTCTTATGTAATTGTTCGCTGGCGTCGGTGAGAAACGAAGGCTTTCCCCCTTTTTTCCAGAGATGATCTTAAGGCGCTGTTTTCTTGTGAGAATTGGTGCTCCTCCCCAGCACAATGCATTTGATGATTCCACGCCACCATTTGTCTCGTCATATGCTCATTGCCACTGTTCTTTTTCTGCTTCCAGAGCACAGGCGCCAGAAAAGTTTGAAGAGGCATTCTGAACTTGACACCATTTCCTCCAGGTATTTCATCTCTTGCTTGATCGTTTTCTTGACGATGTTCGCCTCAGGTAATCCAAGCTTTCAGACATGGTGAAGTTCCAGAAGCAGCTGGAGGGCCAGCTCGTCCCAGAGTGGCGGGTGAAGTACTGCGACTACAAGCAGCTCAAGAAAGTTGTCAAGAGAATCAAAAACCAGATCCTACACAGCAGCACAAGGTGTTCGATCCAAATGTCTTCTCGGATGACAAGAGCAAGCTTCAAAACTTGCTGCAAAATCCCAGCGCCATCCTGAGCAGCTGCTGCGAACAATCCATATCCTCGGAAACGTCCATGGATGTTCTGGACTGTAAAGACGAAACAAAACTCTTCAATACGATGAGGTTGTGCACAAGACGAGAATTGCAGATGGCGAGGATTTTTAAGAGAAGGAGCTGTTTGGAACTCGATCGGATCACGAAAAGAACTTCTTTTTCGGCCTTGACGATCAGCTCAACAAAGTGGACAAGTTTTTTAGATGCAAGGAAGACGAGTACGATGCTCAAGCACAGCAACTTCACATCCAAATGGAAGAGCTCATCGTTATGCAAGGTTTGTTATAGCAGCCTCTAAATCTGTAGCACTTAACTTGGAATCGTTTGACGTCTACCATGTTGTAGATGACGAATGTCAGAGCTTGAATAACAAAGGAAAGGTTCAGCGAGCATCCAAGATGCTCCAGACGGCCTTTGTCGATGCAATCCCTCCAGGTAGTAAAGTTTATGGACCGCGCAGAGAGAGTGTTCACTCTGCACTTTACGAAAGGCAACCGAAAGCAAGCCAGGCCCATACACTCTGCGAGCAATCATGGAAATATAAACTTTATCCATTTCATGCATTCGGATCGTCGTTATTAATTAACCTTCTATCACCATTGATGATAGGACGCAGAGATTGTATACTAGTAGTTTCATGGCAATGGCATTGCCTCTAGAAAAGGAAAGCACTGACCATACCTTTGGGAATAACTGTAATCTATTCATTTAATTTTCAGCTAGAACTTTCACGGACCTTATCGTTTCTTCTTGCTGCGCTCTTTGGAAGGTTTGGTAGCCTCCTCTTCGGCGTTGTGGTCGGCTTCAAGTCTCGCGAGCTGCAAATCAAACAATGCTGTTGTGAGGATTCCTTCTTGAGACACCACTTTACCTTGTCAAGGACCGCCGGGTTTTTTCTCCTTCCATTTGCTGTTCATCGAAAGCTTGCTGAGAGACGCGATTTAAATCCACAATACAAACCTCTCCGTTGCTACTGATGAGTTTGATCCCTGTCGTTCCAACCTGAGTGTGCCTGATTCTCGCTTTTGATCCTGATGTCACCTTGTTCTACAGCAACCACCATGAATGGATGAGTATAAATGTGTAAACATACCCTCGTTTTCCTTCACCATATATCAATCTCAGTAAACCTGGAATATATTTGTATGCCACTGCACACACAGCAGCATCCACTAAATTAGATTCCAGAGCTGATAACTTTTACATGGTCACCTGGACGATGACAAGGACCAAAGGTCTTCCCACATAACCATCAAGCCACGTTTCGTGGATTTCGTAATACACTCGCATAAGGTATGCCATCCTGTAAGAGAAGCAAAGCTGAATAACTCCACCAAAACAAGCACTTGGACTGCCTCACGAGCTTCTGCTGCTGCTGCTGCCCGATCAAATTCCCCGAGCACTGCCTCGCCAGCGCCTCCTCCTGGTTGAGCACCGAGATCCACGTCGCGCTCTCCTTGGCAGTCATCTTGTCTTGCAAGCACTTGGACTGCCTCACGAGCTTCCTGATCTTCCCGATATCCGGGGACATGTGTCGGATCACCGCAGTGACAACTCCAACCTTCCACACCTTCTTGAGATCATGGGGCTTCTTATACGGCGGCGGCCCCTGCCCATTTGGAAGCCCAAGCTCGGGCCACCACTCCTCGTCGCCGCTCGGCCACCACGGCGGCGCCACCCCTTTCTCCAGCGGGTACCTCCGCTGGGGTGGATCGCAGTGCTGCATTAGCGCCGAGAGAAGCGATCCGAGGGTGGTGTCCTGGAGCTCCTGGAGAGTGTGTGGCGTCGGGGCGGCGGCGGAGAGCTGGCCAGCGCCGCCGCCGGATCTGGAGCAGATGCCCTCGTACTTGGCCATGGCGGCGGGGCCGTTCCGATCGAAGCGGACCTTCTCCTTCCATCACGCGGTTGTTGTTGCTGGCGCCGCTCACTGGCTTGCCCTTCTCGGGGATGATGCCATAGACGAATCCTTGGGCTTTGCAGACCTCCATGAGGATCGCGTCCTGGGCTCACGACATCTTCTTCCGCCGGGCTTGCTCCTGGGATTGCTTGTGCTTGACGAGATTGCCCAGATTCTGGTGCTGCGCTGCTGGGCCGCCGTGATGCTGCTGCTGCTGCTGCTGGCCATGGCTGCTGTGATTCGAGTGATTCGAGGAGAATGCGTTGTTGACCCTGGACTTTTGCTTGTCCTTGATCCGCTTGAGCCGCAGCCGATCGTTCCAAATCCTCTCTCCAGCTCGTCCACGTCCATGTCGTCGTCGCTGAAATCCTCGTGATCCTGGACGACCGCCTCGCCCAGGCCTCCATCGTTGTCTCCCACAAGATCCACGTCCAGGCCATAGCAGAGATCCGGGTCGCCGCCGTGGAGCTCCATCTTGCGGATCGATCGGAGTGGAAATATTTCGAGCGCGCGCTGCCGAGAGGAGGGAATATTTCGGAGCGATTACCTCCAATTCGCCATGGATCGAATGGGAAAGCGAGGAAGATCACGGGAAGCAGAGAGAAAGAAGGAAAAAGCTCGATTCAACGCGAGCCCCTTGTTGATTACCTAGCTCCATCGATGCCCCGTCGACGCGCGCTGCGCTCGCCGATGGCGCCCGTGACACAGTGGCGCAGCGCCTTCAAATTCGACGGGCAAGCGTCACAATCCCAATGCCGCCACCGCTGCGAGGCGCTGCCCAACGAGAATCGATGCCCTAGCGCATCAAGATCCCCGCTTTGCTGCGAGAGAGAGAGAGAAGAGCAAAGGCGCAGCGCTCCTCGCCATAGCCAACTACTAGCTAATAGCTATCCATCCAAATGCTGTACAATTCCCCCCACTGCCTTTTTTACACGTGGCACAGCTACATCTGGTGGATGCCCTTTTCAGCCCTTCCGGCTTACGGCCAATTTGGCTATCTGCCTCAAATTTAGCTAAGCGGTTTGTTGCCAGATTTAGCAGCTCCCCGAAGCTGCCAGTTTGTCGGAATCCAGTTTGGGTCATAAAATGGACCACTGGGGGACCCCGGGCTCGAACCCGGATCAGTGGATGCCGCTCGAGCCACGGACCGGCGGTCTCGTCGCCGGACTCGAACCCGCCACCGTACGCTCTACGCCTCCACCGCTACCATACGCCTCTCTCTAGTTTATTATACGCCTCCAATCCTTGGTAGTGCTTCCTCATGATCACCTCTACGTGACAACCAACCCGGCGTAGAGTACGTGGGGTACGACGTTTGAAACTCCATTCATTGGGCTTTGTTAAAGAGAATAAAAGAGAGAACGCCACTGTAGCTAAACCTAGAAATCAAAAACTAAACTACATCGTGCCATTATTGGTTTGACTCTATGGCTTAGATGCAACACCTTTTACTCGGGCGGTGCCCTAATCCTCGCGAATAATAAAATATTCGCTGCCGGAGAATATTCCGGAATCGGCCCGTGGTGAGGTTTTGGGCCCCCCCCCAAAATGCTTATTTATATTGTTCGCTGGGAGTCCATGTTCCCTTTTTAGCTCCCCATGTGTGGCCTTTGTTTTTGTTGCCAGCCAAAGAAACACACAGAAAGTTTGAAGGAGAGAGAGAGAGCACAAAAATCTGAGAGGAGAGAAAGAAATGGCACTGGCTTTGATTGACTTTGCCGCGCTCCACTTCTTTGATCCCTCCATCTCCATCTCGTCCTTTTTCTTTTTCTACTTGGACTCGGACGATTCGATCCATGTCATGTTTCGCTCGAAGTCGATGGATCACTGCCCGATCACTCCACCACTTCTTGTCGACTGGAAAAGTCTTTAAATTCCTCTCGCTGATGCGATCAGCACAGCATTAGCCTGAGATCAAGGCCGCGGATCATCCAGCAAAGTCTAAGCTTTTTGCCACGGATGTGACAAGCTAACGTGTTGTCCAGAGCGCTTACAGGTTCCATTGTTTTTTCCATGACAATTCTTTTTCCTCCGGCGACCGGCACGAAAATCGTCCGAAGCAACCCAAACTGGAAACAAGATACATGCCCAGTTTCTCGGACAGATTTCCTCAAGCCCGGCAGCACACGGAAGACGAAGAAATTCGTTAAAAAATCCACGAGCAAGCAGCAAGAGAGAGAGAGAGAGAGAGAGAGAGACATAAAGAACTTTGCCAAGCCCAAAGTCGTTGATGTTAAGCTAGGCCGTGCTTGAAGCGCGTGATGATGATCATGAAAGTTCCTGTCGAGATGCTCGGTGGATTCTCCGTGTCTCCAGCTAGAGACTTATCGATCAATCCACAGTGTGCGGCAGCCGTCGTTTTGCTCGATCGCTCCCTCGTTTGCAAAAGCTCGGACTTGACGATCCTTCTCTTTCTGCCATGGATTCCTCCATGAAGAGACCACCGAGCCAAGTTGCGAGAGTGAGGTTAAGCTGTAGTGATCTTACGGACATCCTCTTTTTGGATTGCTTCCTTTTTTACTCCTTGTATCGTATCGACACTGTTGTAGAAGAAACAAACGAGTTTTGGAGGTAGCAACTTCCCTTCCATATGATTGATACATGAAGAACAAGACATCGCTTGCAAGTGGAAGATCACACGGGAGATGTTTGGAGTCAAACTGGAACTTTCGTGATTGTTACGAGCACCTCCCCTGAATCCAGCACCACACTATCTATCTGGTAATGTTTCAAAACGAGTAAACTAATCAGTGTTTGTTGGGAATGAATGTTTGTGCTGCTTGGCCACTTGCACTGCGGCAGCAGAGGAGGATGTTTTGCGGCAACTATACCCGACTAAATCGAAGTACTTTAATTGCAATTTGCAAGATCACAAGTACTAGTCCTGAAGAAAAACAGCGAGATGTGCTTATAATCAAGGCATTGTTGCAACGCAAGTGGAAATTCACTATGTTTAGCTGGGCTTTCTGGGGATGCTTCATCTGAATCACATAGTGTCACCTTGCCGTATGAAAAAGACAAGAGAAAAATTCTTACTCACTAGAGTTTGGCAATTTTACTTTAGCTGCTACAATTTTTCCATTGTTGATACTCATTGTAGCTTCATTCAACTCCACACTTTTTTACTTGATTAGAGATGTAAAGTTTTGTGTCAAGTTCTAAAATTTTGTCTATAGTTACAAAAC